CTAGCGTTTACTAGATATAGGGTAGTCTGGTATATAAAAGAGGGTGACAACGTGACGGGAAGGTAATGTGTGTGTGTATCTTATGAGTAATTGAACTGCAGTCAGAGAGAGACGTATTGTTGAAGTTAACGTTCGTTAGAGCATTTGTTTTAGCGTGATTATTGAAAATAAGTGTATCGTAAAGTTGTATTCGGAAATAATAAACCAGTTTTATTAAGTAAGGACTTGTGCCGCTAAAGGTTCGTCGGAACTAAGTTACGGAAAGTTAATTAACAAACGGAGACATAACAGTATATAAGCCTGGCAGAGAAAAGCCAGTAATGATGAATGTATGATAAAGCGAACAGTAGTCAGTAGTTCTTCGGAAAGAATTTCTACGGGAAATTAACAAACAAGCAGATACGTAACAAACTGGTGTCAGAGACTGGGACGGAAAAGAAAAAAAAAATGGAAACGAGAAGTGGAAAATCAAACTACGACTTAGCAGATTTGATGGCAACAGTACAAGAACAGCAAAAGAAACAAGAAGAACGAGAAAATAAACAAGAAAAGAGACTACAGCAGTGATTGGAGGAAAAAGAAAAGAAACAAGAAGAGAGATTACAGCAGTTGTTGGAGGAAAAAGAAAAGAAACAAGAAAAGAAATTACAGCAGTTGTTGGAGGAAAAAGAAAATAAACAAGAAAAGAGACTACAGCAGTGATTGGAGGAAAAAGAAAAGAAACAAGAAGAGAGATTACAGCAGTTGTTGGAGGAAAAAGAAAAGAAACAAGAAAAGAAATTACAGCAGTTGTTGGAGGGAAAAGAAAATAAACAAGAAGAGAGACAACAGCAGTGGCAAGAAAACCTGCAACAGTGGCAGCTCGAACAGCAAGATAAACAAGAGAGACTACAGCAGTGGTTGGAGGAGAAAGAAAATAAACAAGAAGAGAGATTATAGCAGTGGCAACTGGAACAAGAAAGGAAAAAGGAAGAAAGTCTCCAACAGTTGCAGGGAAGTCAGCAGCAACTAC